GAAAAGGCCCTGAACCTCAGCTCTGCCCTTTCTAGAAGTTGTTTTCCTGGTGCTGTGACAAAGGTGAGGGAAMAGGAATGTCAGTATTCCAGCAGCACTGCTACTCTGTCCCCAGTGCCCACACTGGAGGCACGGATACAATCTGCCAAAACAATAAACTCTGCAGATGTGCAAAGAATTTTGTGTTTGTATATCCTACCCCAAGGCCAACTGCACAAGAAGGAAACAAACTTGCATTAGGGATTCTGATGATCTTTCTTGCCTGATTATGAAAACTTAATAGTGGCATTACTTATGCTGTGCCTTAAGAGACATGAGCCCATGATGAGATAAACCAGACTTGGAAGGGGCAGAAGTATTCTTAGAGCCACCTTCTCATCACACATTCCCTCTCACTCCTSTTCCAGCATGTATTCCTGGCCCTGTAACACCAAGCTCCTGCTCCTTCCCAGTCGAGGATGCTGAGCTGTGGGAAAGGTGGGTGAGGAGCGGATAGGCAGCACAACCTGCTGCCCATGCAGAAAGGACCCTCACCTTCCTCTTCTRGGGGACAGGGAAGGTGGCTTTCTCTGTGGAGGATTTGCAGGATACTGCAAAGACAACCTTGGAAACAGCACTCTGAAAATCCCAGTGCTGACCCTGGGAGAAACAGGGGAAGACAAGGAAAGGGGCTGATCCGCATGGACAGGAGGGGTGGCGACAGCAGATCCCACTCACAGTCCTGACCTGAAGTGCACTGAAATGCTGCAGRGCAGTACACAGGCTCCACTCCCAGAAACACTGCCTTCTTCAGGCCTTGGCCCTCTCCATTACCTTGGAGTTTCASCATAGCTCAGCATGGGCTGCAGTGGCTCAGAGGACACTTCCAAAACGCTGCATTCAGCCCCAGGCTGGTCTCACAGTCCCCAAGGGAACATGGCCATGCTTTGCARAGCTTTCCAGTGTGTGAAAGGATAATTTGGCCATCATTTTAGGAAGAGCGTCTATCTTGCTTCCTAATAGGATTACAAGAGCTCAGGAAGGGTCTGGAGCTGTGAGGCAAGTGCTGTTTGCTGTCCTTGTCCGGTAAGGGAGAAGCAGAGCCAGTGCAGGGCTGGGCAGCCCCAGGAAACACAGCTGAAAACCAACATGGGAACAAGAGCATGGGCAGCAGCAGAGCTTCCCCAGGAGGCTCCAAAGATGGTCAGTGGCAGCAGTGTCTTACCCCCCTGCAAGAAGCTGCCATTTCCCTGGGGGGTGACCCTCCCCTGCGCTGCCTGGGAGGCCAAAGGTCAATGGATAGAGAAGGCTGCTCCAAACCACCACGAGAGATGGAAGAGCAGCAGCAAATAGTGGGGTAGTGATGGAGGTGTGGCATGGGCATGGAGACGGAGGGAACAGGCAGCAAAGTTTGGGGASCTCCTCTGYTCTTCTGGAAGCTGAGGAGGGTTTRGCAGCACTGAGAYGTGGCAGGGGACACAACAAATTCAGCAGTGCTGATACAAGCACAAGAGAGAAAAGGTGGTAAAAACCAGTTCACTAAAAGGAAAAAACATCAACCACAAAGCATAACTGAAAAAAAGGATGAAATCACTTCCCCCAGATCTTTGTGGCATGTGCTTTGCAGGAGGCCCCCTTGGGGACTACACTGGTCTCTGCTGGCCTCTCCATCTATCACAAGATGACAAACATGAAGGGAAGAAATTTTTTGCATTGGCATTAAGGGACAAAAGCGAAAACATCTTGGGCACAGGTAGCTATGAAGATGTCAACTGCTACCAACAGCACTCAGTGTGTTCACCCTCTGTTTATGCAGCTGCATCCCCCCTGAGCAGAGGAGGACATGCTGCAGATTGTCTTTGGAGAACAATGCAGACAACAGAGATGAAAAGTTCAGCGTGCTTATACTGTGACCTCCCAGCAATGGCATTAGATCCCACATGAGATCATTTACTTCTGGCTCAGCTCTTTGCTCCTCATTTTATGAGGCAGCAAAAGGTGAGAAATATCTCCTTGGKTGTCAGACTCAGGTAGAGAAATCAAACTCTGCACCAGAACCAGATACACAACCCTTGCTCACACAAGAGAGGACACATGACAGATGTGCAAGGAAACAGTGCTCAATCTCCAGCTTCCAAGAAAGCACATTYCACAGACAAATACTGTCAGCTTACCAGTATGAGCCTTGCAATCTGAAAGAGCCTTACATATCCAAGCAGCCTATTAGCTCCCAAGTCTTTCTCAGCACTTGCCCTTCAGAGTTCATTGCAGGCTCAAGGCACCCCAAGATTGCTGCAGAAACCTAAGCTAGGGATGGAGAAAGGGAGGACTCTTTCCCACTTTCCTTCCTTGTAGAATTAGCAGTGATGATGATGCTAAGGYTGGCAAGGAAAGGTATAGCAAACCCCTGCCCACATTGCATCATGCCCTTTCCTTSTGTAGGAGGGGACCTGTGTGCAGTCTTCCCTATCGAGAGGGCTGGAGAACTGAGGGATGCATCAACATTGGTATCACTCTTCCCTCGAGGCACAGCAACTCTCCGTACTAAGGCAGAGGAGGCCACGTTTTCTCCTGAGAGGCTGCATCAGTGTCCTGCTGGCAGAGAGGCTGGAGCTATTCTATACCCTGCACATAATGGCTGGGGCTGTGTTTGCAGCAGGGAAAGCCGGACACCCCACTCAAAGTGAGCCATTGTGCCTCTCTGTCCAGTGGAGGGACTGTYGGCACCAACCTGTGCAGGACTCGGTCCCTTTGCTGCCCCACGGGGTCCCCTCCTGTTTCTCAGTAAACAGCTATGGGATGTGATGTTGAAAGGGACAGTGGTGTTGAATCAACAGCACGACAGGGGGGCTGCTGGCAGGGACTGGTCCAGCAGGAGTGACCCCAACCCTGCTGYGCCTGCCAAACCGAGCAGAACAGAGCCCTGCCAAACCCAGCCAAACTGAGCTGAAAGGAGCACAGCTGAGCTGTAGGACAAAAAAGCAGCAGTGACCTGCGAGGTTGACCCCAGCATGGCCGAGTGGTAGAAATGGCAGCACAGGCACCTGCRTGGAACTGAGCCCAGTGGAATGTCCGTGTGACCCTACTCGGATGATCCAGTTTTCAGGRGGGTGTTTGTCAGTGGTTTTTGTGGTTTCTGGCTGGGGTTGGCAAGTATTAGTCACATGCCTTTGTTCCCAGTGGCCGCATGGACAGCACATGAATGGCAACCACGTTGCCTTTCTCTGGGGAAGCCATGCGGACRCAGCTTACGAGRAGCATCTGCTAYCTTGGTTTTGTTACAAATGGTGAACAACTTTTCGTGGGCAAAACACATCCTCTTTTTGTATACTATTGTTATTAACATTGCTGCTATTGTTGTGCATGCTTTATTCCATTGCTTTGTGCTTTCAGTAAATTGTTATTTCAACTCATAATCTCTACTTTTGTCCTTCCCTTAACAGAAATGGCAAGGGAAAAGGGAGTGCCTTATCTGGAGTTTAATTCCAGCTGGTGTTAAAACCAGCACAGTCAGGAATACTTTGGCCTCTGTGAAGCTCAGGATATCTTACACCCTTATCAGGGCTCTTACACTCACTSCTCTGGAGAGATGTAATGTGGTTTAGGCAGTGCCCATCCTGCCTGCCCCAGYGAGCCAGGCTATAGATGGACAAGGAGATGAAGCCAGCTGTCTCACAGCAAATCCCATGTGCCTGTGCCTCAACTGTGGTTACTGCGGGTGACCCGATGGAACGTGGAGCTACTCAGGTACAGCTTAAGACATTCCTTACTGGATTTCTCATGGCAGGGCAAGGATCTTTTTCTGGATGGGTATGAAGCTCAAAGGGGCTGCTTCTGAGGCAGGAACCACTGAAGTGCTGGGTCTTTCTGGTGTACCTTACGTGCATCACCACTGTCTACAGTCATTAAGATCTGCATGGAATACAGGAGCATCTTGCAGGGAGCAGCAGACACGTGATAAGCCTCACTTCAGGATGCATATACTTTCCAGAACTGCCATCCTATGTGGTTTTCATTAACTTGGCATCTTTTTCTCTCTTTGCTGCACCAAGCACACAGAGAGGCAGCCTTGATCCARAAACCAAGYTGCCAGAGMAGCCTCACTGCACTGCCCAGAACCAGGACAAKGCATCCCAGCATAGATGGCAGGAGAGTCAGGCTCCACCAAGGCTCTAGCCCTCAGGTCAGTTCTCAGCATGACCCAATTTCGCTCCCTGCTCAGCCTCCCCAGCTGCCAGGACCTGTCCTCCAGGGCAGGATGATGCCCAGACAGGGCAGGAGGGAGGCAGAGCAGCCCTGGACAGTATCCTAGGCAGAGGGCTAAYCCGACAGAGACTGGGGAAAGGATACTTTCGTGCAGCTGAAGCTGAAGGCATGATTTCAATACAATAAAAAATCCCCAACTGCTGTCAGACTAATCTGAGTGTAAAAAAAACCTCCTACTCAACAAACCAGCATCCTTTTATTGGTCTTTTATTTCAGGCTTGATGTGACCAAATAAGTGTGCCCAGGAGCTCTGTCCCTGCAGCCCTACCTCCTGCCCTGGCTGAAGTTGCAAGAACACATCAGCAGCTGAGCATGTGGGGAAGGAAGGAGCTAGACCAGATGGGCTCACCCACAYCCCATAGCAGCCTGAGCCCCTGCACAACAGCTATGCCATCCCAACAAACCCTGTCCTGAGTTTTTGACAGAGCTCTCATCACAGCATTCCACTCCTGCCTGTCCCTTCTCCTTATGTTTAGCCCCCAGAGTAATGATTATCTTTTTTTATACATAAATATATATTTCCATGGCGTCTCACATGAAGATGGTCTGCCCCAAGCTGAGGACATTCAGGCAGTGGTGAAAACAGACAGCTGTACCCTGCCAAGAGGAGGGCACACGGCCGTGACACGGGGTCCGGCAGTATTTGGTCCCAGCACTGCACCCTCCTGGGGCAGCACAGCTTCCTGACAGGGTCTGCCTGGCAGCTGAAGTCACCCATTAGATATAAACAGAGAAGGCTGAAGCTCTGCCCTTACCTGCCAGGATCTTTCCTCTTCTCCACTGCACAATCCCACTTGCCCTTGTCCATCTCCTGCAGGAGGGCCATTTGGACAGGGGTGCTTCTGCCTCCGCTGCCATTGCTGCCTCGGTGCTGCCGGCCACGGCAGTCAGGCTGGGAGCTGCCCTTGATGGCCTGGAGCTGGGCCAAGGGCACAATGTCACAGCCCTGGGGACGGTGCCACACCGTCTGCCGCGTGATGGCATTGTAGTAGTAGAAGCGGTTGTTGTTCTGGTCGAAGAGYTCCCACCACTGGTTCTGGTCTGACTGGCGCACCTTCAGGTTGGGTGGGGGCTCCCAGCTGCACTCCCCCGTAGTCAGGTTGACATACATCCGCTCCTGGGAGCGGGGCTCGATGATCTCCACCCAGTCTGAGCTGCAGGGACACAAGAGCCACGTTAGTCTGGCCCAGAGGCCCAAGGCAAACAGGTTRTCTGAGACTCCTACAGAGCTGCTTCCACTGGGCCAGGCAGCCTGYTTGCAGATCAAAGCATTGTTTGGGRCCATTCAGCAATCTAATGAGCTCAGGAGAAGCCAGGAGAAGGGTTTGAGATGGGGCTGAGACAAAGGAGCAGTTCTTTGGCACATGGAAGGGGAGGTCACCTCCATCAGCCTGTCCCCCTCAGCAGCCCAGCACAAACACACAGGGCTGATGAGCACTGTCTGCTGATGCTGGGACARCTCACACCAAGGGCTGGCCCAGTCACAGGAGTGCCAGTGCTTGGGAGTTGTGCAGGGGACCTCACTTTTAAGAGCAGGGAGGATCTGCAGAGCAGGATTTGCTCCTTTGGAGAGCTGCATGTTCCACCTCGGGAGACCAAAGCCCTGASTCCCAACAATGCAGGCAGCCTGCCCCATGCGAGTGCCTGCCTGCAGGCCTCACATGTTGTGGGGCTGGAAGAGACCTCTTGGTTCCACGGACCCTGCTCAGAACCCACACTTGCCTGTCCAAAAGATACATGTGGGAATGACTGTGGATAAAACCATCTCCACTGCCAGCTCTTCCCCCTCCCCCTTGCCTGCTAGGACAGAGCCTTCAGTAGGGCATAAAATGACCCAATGGACAGGCCCTGCTGCTGACCCACAACCTTTCTGCAGCCCTAAAGAACCCCTTGAGTTCCAGGGTCCTTTACCAGTACCCATGCTGAGCCAACCAGTGCAAGCAAGGCAGACTGTGCTGTAGGACTGGTTTTCAGGCAGATCAGCACAGTGGTTTTGATGCAGAGGCGCTGGGTGGCACAGCTGTCAGACACAGCACATCGACCTTATCTCTATCATACCAACGCTGAAAGGCTGCCTGAGGAGCTCAGCAAAGCCAATGCCTACCCAATGCAGTACCCAAATCATTTTGGACAGGCCAGGTAAATGGCAGAAGGGAGTGCAAACCCCAAGAATGTGTCCCTCCACAAAGGAGAGATGCTGCCACTAAAGGGATCCTGAACTCGATGGTATGCTCAGCATTCAGTAAAACAACATGCACCCCTCAGCTCCTGCTCCCACCCCCCAAATCCTGGTCTCCACCCCTTGTGAAGGCTGCAGGAATGAGGCCATATTGAACCCAAGTTACTTTTGTTACCAGTAAAAGCTGTATGAAGTGGACAGGTCCAAGGCCCCCCTTGAAACCTGTTCCTGCCCAGTGGCTCACTCTGACACCACCTCCAGCTGCTCTCCAGTGAGGGCATGACAGCAGAAGCCATTCCCACAGCAGAAGCCATTCCCACAGCAGAAGCCATTCCCACAGCAGAAGCCATTCCCACAGCAGAAGCCATTCCCACAGCAGAAGCAGAAGGCACACCCCACTGCACCCCTCTCACACCCTCTGCTGCCAGCCTCCAGCTCCTCAGAAGGGTCAGCAGTGATGGTGGCAGCACCGCAGTGCCTGAAATGGCAGCCCAGCCCCTGCGCCCAGCCCTGCTGGCGTGGTCACGGGAGAGGAGACAATTCCTGACAGGGCAGTCCAGTCTCTAGCCCTGCTCTGGCTTTCTGAGGAAGCTCAGCATGTCCCCTATCACCAGGCAAGTCTAGATGTGGGTTTGGTTGCACATTGCACCTCCCTGCTAGGAAAACCACGGGTTTTGACTGACAGCAATCAATGCTGAGCAGTCTGGCATATACCCACAAAAAGCAGGCTGTTTGTCAAATCTCTGAGGGTTCAAAATTGATAGGTACAATGTCAACTCAACATACAATAAATGGGAACTGTCTGAAAATGTGCAATTCCTTTGTCACAGTATCTACTATGCAATGCTGACGTCCATGCACTCTCATGGAGAGCTGATGGTTGGGYTACCACAGACAGGCTAATTGGGAAGGCTGATCTGGATGAAATCCACCTATTCTGTGTCATAGGTCAGCTTTCAGGCAGATGTGCTTACCCACCCCAGATTATCACCTTCACAACTGTTCACACTGACTAGCAAGGAGCTCAGAACAGAGCACACCACCTTTCCCCATGACACCAGCTCCTGCTGGTCTCCCACCATCACCAGAGCACAGCAAGGCACTGCCAAAAATAGGGTGCCAACAGACACACTTAGAAAACCCTGTGTTCAGAAAACATCTGTTTTGTTGTTTGCTGGTTTTGGGTCAAAAAAACCATCAGTTCCACAACAGCCATACCAGCACCCCATGCCATGGCTCAGGTTGGGAATCACAGAACCAGCCCTATTCTCCCCTTGCAATTGCAATGTCAAACTGCAAGTAGGCAAAAAAAAAAAGAAATCACTGAGATCATCAAGGGCATCAGTAAGTGCAAAGAGGTATCATCCATAAACAGGGTATAAAAGGGAAAACCAAGAACAGCAGCAAAGCCCAGCAGTACTGGGAGCAGAGCAAGACGAGCATGCAGGCATGGAGAAAGCAACTACAGAGTGCAGGTAGGAAAAAGAACTGGCATGGAGGGTCCAAGGGACAGCTCAGAGGGGACACAAGAGCACCACAACTCTTCACAAGGACAGGCAAACAATAGGAAAAGCAGCAGAGAGGACTGAGAAGGGCACTTAGACCCAGATAACTCACTGGCAGCTTCCCGGAATGGGGAGAGGCTGCCATCAGTGCAGAAATGGGGGGGAGCTTCATCCAAATATGGGGGGCATGGCCTTCCACTCCTGGGAGGGGACAAGAGSAGGACAGCAGGTGTTGGAAGGGCTAGTAGAGGAAAGCAGCACAAAAATACACACGGACAAGAGCCTAAAGGAAGACCAGAGACAGTTCTGGAGGATTTGCTTGGCAAGGAAGAAAAAATACACAACACCTAGCAAGACCCTGAGTAATCAAGTGTCAATTGAGCCATCAACTTTTTTAATGTTCAAGAGCACACTGTGTTTGATCTGTTTTGCTCACAAATGGGTTAGCAAAGCTTTRGAAGACCAATGGGTGTACCCACGGTGCTGGTCCTCAGTAGAGAAGAGTGGTCAGCTATTTTCTATAGCTTGCACTTAACAGAAAATAACTAATTCTTCTCATAACACTTGGCCATAATCGAGTGTGTGTTGCTGAYTACAGTTTTCCATTTTAAAAAGCTTACCTTTGTCTTTGTGTGCAAAGACAATTAAGTGGATGACTTGGGTGGGTGATCTCTTAGCTCCCCTTAAAATTGAGGGGCTAAGGATGACTGAGGTGGAGATCAATCAGGGAAAAAAATCTGCACAAAATACACTGAAATACTAAAGAGTTTGGTACAATCACACTCACACAAAGAAGAGGAATAGCAAGGAGCACATTCCTGGAGCAGGGCCAGTTGCAGGCTGCCACATAAGCCTTGAACATATCATCAGGAACTCTGGAAAGATGTGATAAACCCAGGAATGCAGAGAAATAAGGCTGTAACTCAGACACTTAAAAGAATACTAATTAATATTCCACTTCATAAGGTTAAGGAAGTTTCCTGGGAATGGTTTAAATAATGCTTTTCCCTGTCCTTTCACTCCAAGTGCTGAGGGATGCAGCAGCCACAGAGTGTACACCACTGTCCCCAGCACTGCAGTGCCTGCTCCAACCAGAAGGATCAGGCAGTGGTTTCARTTTGTCTCAGCTCCTGGGACTCGGTGTCCCTAGGACAGGACTCCCCTGCAGGCTCCATTTGCACTCCCAGACCAAAYCCACTCTGCAGCCTGATCATGGGACAGGTAGGCACAGTGTAGACGCTGAGAAACCAAGTGCAACCTCCAGGTGGTTCCAATGCACTCAGGTTTGCATATCAAAACCAGACAAGACTGTRAAACTCATCTCCATCCTGAAGCTGTAGAGAGCCTCCAGAAGGTCTCTAGCATCGCCTCCTTACGGTAATCCTCCACCAKCTGACTCAGTCAATTCTGGCTTTATTCACTGCCTTCTCTCAGCCAAGTCCAGAAAACCTGTAATTTACATCTTAGGACAAAAAAAGTACCCAAAACAAACATTTCTCTCCCACACACACGTATATATATATCTATATAAATATAGATATATATATATACTTTTGAATACACATGCCTCCTTCCAACGAAAATTATAGAGAAACTAAAATAAATATATTGTCAGACTGTTCATAAAACTCTCCTGGCTCCTGAAAATAAGCACAATGCAAACAAACCAACCTCTGTTTTGCTGGAGACAGATCACACTGTGAAAATCAGAACAAATGCTGATTGCTCAAAGCCTGAGCGCATATGCTTTGCTTCAGCAAGAGGAGAACAGGGGCAGGACTCTCAAGGCAGAGCCCAACCTGGCAACACATTGGAGAGGAGAGAGAATAACACCGTGATTTGGGTGGATTTGGGGCACAAGAGAGCCTGGAAAAGGACTATCACAAAGAGCATCTCATTACTTTGGTGTTTTCAATTAAAGAAAAATCAAAACAACAAAGCAAACACAAACAAAGCCCCAAGCCTTCTGCTAGGTGGTATTTTCAAAGACAAAGATGTCAGATGGGAAACTTGGTGGCCTTCTGGGTGCTTGGACTCTCTTGGCTCTTGCCKCTTTCCTGGCCATTCCTAAACTTACCCCCAGCCCAGCTGCCAGCATTGCTGGCTCCYATCTTGCTGCCTTTAGCCTCTTGATTCACCCCAAATCCAGAGCAGGACAGCAAAGKGGTAGCTCATTCCACAGGAATGGGTTGGGGCAGCACCAAAACTAACAGCAGATTCCTCTAAGATCCTGTCTCAAAGAGAAAGAAGTAAGAAACAAGGACTTTTAGGACACAGGTCAGACATCCTGAGGTCCCTGCAAAAGGAGAGACAAGGGCCATAAGGGAGGACAGACACCATGACAATCACGCCACAATGATAATCAGCTTAAAATAAAGACCAGAACAGTCTCAAAGGCATAAGGCCCTACAGCCTAAGCAGTACTGAACCTTGGGTGGGATGGATGCACAGGCGTTTTAGAGCCCTATAG